GGAGACCAGGGCAAGAAGTTTGCCTGAGCCCAGGAGTTCGAGAGCAGCCTGGCCAACATAACGGGACCTCATTTCTGCAAAAACATTTTAAAAAATTAGCCAGGTGTGGTGGCACGCAACTGTAGTCCCAGCTACTCAGGAGGCTGAGGCTGGAGGATTGCTTGAATCTAGGTGACTAAGGCCATAGCGAACCAGGATAGTGCCACTGCACTTCAGCCTGGGTGACAGACTGAGACTCTGACTCAAAAAAAAACAACAAACATTTTAAAATCTATCAAACTGGGAGAATAGGAAAGTCGACCCCTATGTGGATAAGCGTGGTGAGGCAGGGTCCCTGTTCCCACATGGGGACGGAGCAGCGATGCTGCAAGTCCCTCCCCAAGTCTATCCCAAGTGTGGAGGCACCCTACAGACTTGGAGGGTGTGGGATGAGAACTCCAGAGAGAGCGAAGTGGCATAAGATGCTACAGGAAATCCACAGGGTGAAGCTCAAGCCAGAGGAAGCATTTTGGACAGACACAGATGAACTGGGGAATGGCCCGCCAGGGCCTGCGGTGAGGGGTGCATGGGCTACTTTCTGCCTTTTGTGTCTCTTTGGAAAATTCCATGATCAAAAGTTTAAATATATTTTCAGCTACAGGAGGGGCAGCAACTGTGGGATGCAGGGCTCAGGGACAGTGCCAGGGAGGTTACTTGATCTTGTTGTCTAAGTGTCCACCCGGGAATGTGAGGTTCTCTCCAGTCTGGAAAATGGGCTTATATGCGTAGCGTTGCATGGATAAGGTGAGCATCTGAGGGTGGAATCATAGCACCTGGGAAAAGTAGGCTGTGGATAGAAAGAAGCCCAGAGGACTAGGGAGGGCCTGGATTCAGGAACAAAGGAGGACCTAGACTCAGGGGGAGGGCCTGGACTCGGAGGTGGGGCTGGACTTGGGAAGGAGGGCCTGGACTCAGGAATGAGAGAGGGTCTGGACTTAGAGGGGAGGGCCTGGACTCAGGGACGGGGAGGAGGCTGTGGCTTGAAGACTGAGCTGGATAGAGTTGCAGTCGTGTCCATGGGGAGTTGGAGGCTCAGGTGGTGCCCAGGGCCAGTGTGGGCTGAGGACATGGCTAGAACTCAGGGCCTGGTTAAGGGGTTTCAGGCTGATCTGGGTCCACCCACACCATGGCCTTGTGGCTCGAGTCATCTAAATGACCTCACCATGGCCATCACATTCAGCCACACTGCTTTGTGTCCAATTGGGCAGTGATGGGGACCCCTGCCTGCGGTAGCTCCCTAAAGCAGACCAAGGACAGAGACACCTGAGCCTACCAGGCCAAGCTGGCACTGCTGGCGCTGTGGGCATGGTGGACCATCCCTTACCCGAGTCTGGGGAGGGCTGAGAGTCTGTACCAGGGCCCCTTTCCATGGAGTCAGCCATTCCCACTTACCCCGTAGCTGAGATGAAACCACAGAGGTGAGCAGAGCAGCTAGGTGGCAAAAGGAAGGAGCTGTCCCCAGGCTGGGTACCTACTGTGGCCAGGAAGGGCAGTGGCCACTCTTTTGGTTTTGAATTGGAGTCTCACTCTGTCACCTAGGCTGGAGTGCAGTGGCATGCTCACAGCCATCCCAGTGTCGACCTGCTAGGCTCCAGTGATCCTTCCACCTCAGCCTTCCAGGTAGCCAAACTACAGGAGAGCGCTACCAAGTCCCGCTATTTTTTAATTTATTGTAGAGACGAGGTCTCACCAAGTTGCCTGGGTTGGTCTTGAACCCATGGTCTCAGGCAATCCACTCGCCTCGGCCTTTCAAAGTCCTGGGATTACAGGCTGAGCCACTGAGCCTGGCCTGCCACTCTGGCAGTGGAACCGCAGAGGTGACAAGCACAGGAAGCCTCTCGGCCAGGCCCTTCTCCTTCCACTTAAACACCCAGCCCCAGGGAAGACATCGAGTAGACCCGGGCCTGACGGCATCCCTCCTGGAGGAAGAGCCTGTACCTTGGCGGGCAGGTGGCCCCCTGTACCCTTTGCCCCTCTGTGTGAAAGAAACAGCCCTGGCTGCTGGCGAGGAAGGGCTGGGAGGGACAGAGGTCCCTGACAAGGCTGGGTGGGACAGAGGTCCCTGAGTCCCCTCCTGAGTTTGTTCACCTTGGGGGTGGCAGAGGCTCTGGGGAAGCCTTGGCCCTCCCTCCCAGGAAGGCCCTCAGGGGAGACTGGTGGGCTGGCCGAAGCTGGGGGCCCACCAGGCAGGGAGTGCCTGACAGAGCTCAGGGCAGGACGTGCTCTGAGCAGCTGAAGATGCCTGAGGCTGGCCATGGTGAGAAGTGGACCAAGAGGCCGGGGGAGGGGGGTCTGGATGTCCCTCTGGGCCATGGTCTGGCCTTGGCCACCCCACACCAGGTTGTTTTCCCCAGGCCTTGCACTGGGCCTACTGGCGCTTTTGACGTGGTCTCACCAGACTGTTGGTGCCCAGAGGTCAGGTGCAGGCCTAGATCTGGACATCAGCGCCCCAGACTGCAGGCTGCATAGAATGGGATGGGCAGGCAGGCAGACCCGGGCTCCTGCCCTACAGTGTAAGGGCATGGGGGCCCCAAGGCCTCTCTGTATGGGGTGCCTGCCTGCTGGGAGGCAGCCAGAGTGTTCGGTTGAGCCACCACCACTTCCCCTTGCGTTTGCAGAAGTGGCTTCAGAGCCGGCTTCTCCCTGCTCTGGGGCTGCTGGTGTCAGGGAGGGATGAGGGCACAGCCTGAGGGGAAGGGCTTATCCTCCCAGGTTGGCTCTGCTGGCTTTCCAATAGCCCCTTCCCAGGCCTCTCAGCCATTCCAAGTGGACCTGGGGCCTTTGGATCTCGAGCCTGACTTTCCAAGTGGACCTGGGGCCTTCCAATCTCGAATTTGATGTGGGCCTCGGGTGCTGGTCTTGTGGTCACTGGGACTTATTTGCAAGGTGGCATCCCTGCCCGGTGTTATCAGTCTTTGAAGTGAGGGGAGGGCAGCTGGCAGCAGAGACAGTGGACACAGAAGAGCACAGGCCCTGTGGCCGCAGGCCTGGGACAGGAGGAGGGGCTCAGCCAAGGTGAGGTGGTGGCACCTCCTTGTATCCTCAGACTCTTAGACACCTGGGCTGGGGCCTGAAGAGCTCTGGTGCCCGTTAGCTCCGCCCTTGTGGCCCACTTGGCCACCCTCGCTAGCTGGGGACCTGCCTCCTTGGGTTCCTTGGTGGGGCTCATGGCTCCCTCGACCTTCTGTTCTGCACATGGCCAAAGAGCCCCGCATCCCTCCTTGGGTCTTGGGCCTGGGTCCAGCAGCCACATGGCCACAGGGTCACACAGGTCCTAGCTGAGTGGCGGCCAGGAGGACAGCGTCCTGGACACAAGTGCCCTTGAAGGGTTTAAGGGCTCCTAGCAGAGTCCATCTCGATTCTCAAGGGTGGCCTGAGAGCCAGGAAGGGTGGACATGCATCACACGCAGGATGGGGAGGCTCAGGGAACCCTGGCTCACACCACCTACCCGCCCATCGCAGGGAAGTCACTTTGGAGATGGCTTTTCTTGAGTCTTCCTTACTTCAACATCTCACTTTTAAATGCATTTTCGAGGTATTGCTTTAAAAGACTTTGAAGTCAATGAACTTCCTGTAATTTCAGGTACACATCTTGGCTTCCTGTTATCTCAGTCTTTAGAAATACAATTAGCCGGGTGTGGTAGCGCTCCGCGCCTGTAGTTCCAGCTACTCGGAAGGCTGAGGCGGAGACAGAGTGAGACTCCAACTCAAAAAAAAAAAAACAAAAGAATGCGGGCTGGGTTGCTAATTTGCTGTTAGCACTGCCCTTTGGGGCTGCAACCCGTGGTGTGGGCGTCTCTGGGTTCTGCATCTCCTGGCAGCTGCTCCCAGGGGCCCTGCTGGCTTCCATGAGGGTCTGGCCAGACGGGGCAGCCCAGGTGGTGTGGGGTTGGGCCTGGCATCAGGCAGGTGGGAGTGGAGTCAGCGAGGTAGCCCCCCAGGCCAGGCCCCCATCCCCTCTGCAGGCCTGGGAAACGTATGGAGCCTTGTTTTGGTAGCAGGTTAGGGAAGGAAGCAGAGACAGGACCGGAATGCTCTGTTCCACCTGCCGGCAGCTGCTGGGCCTCCCTCCTCAGGGCTCCGAGTGCTGGGTATGAACCAAGAACGGTCGCTTCACCAGGAAAAATTCCCAGACCGGGCTTTACTGGGTCAAAAGTTAAGCACATTTACAATTTCTGGAAACATTGTAAAACTGTGCTCCAGAAGGGGTTGTGCCAACTTATCCTCCCATCAGAACAGTGTGAGGGCACCCCAACCTCATGCCCAGCATGAGGGCACTCCAACACTTGCAGTCCCAGCATGAGGGCACCCCAACCCTCGAGCTCCCAGCATGAGATCATCCCAACCCTCATTCCCAGCATGAGGGCCCCTAACCTTTGCTTCCAGTAATGCCGAGAGGTAAAGGCCTTCATTTTTGCCGTCCTGGCAGACCAGAAAAAAGAGACTGTCTTTCCGACATTTATGTTTGCATTTCTTTGACTGCAAGTGGAGTTAAGCATTTTCAGATTTTTCAGAGCTATTTTTACATCTTCTGTGAAAACTCGTTGGCTTTCCTTTTTCTCCCCCACACCCCAGTTTTATTAAGGTATAATTTTGACAATTAAGAATATATAGCCGGGCTCGGTGGCTCAGCCCGTAATCCCGTGCCTTTGGGAGGCTGAGGTGAATGGATTGCCTGAGCCCGAGGGTTCGAGACCTGCCTGGGCAGCGAGACTTCATCTCTACAATAAATCAAAAAATCAGCCGGGTGTGGTAGCGCATGCCTGTAATTCCAGCTACTCGGAAGGCTGAGGCGGAAGGATCGCCGGAGCCCAGCAGGTCGAGGCTGCCGTGGCCGGGGGCGGCCACTGCACTCCAGTCTGGGCGACAGAGTGAGACTCCAACTCAAAAAAAAGAATATATAGGGTCGGAACACGGGGGCTGGCCGGCAGAGAGGGAAACTGGAGCGGCGGGTGGGGAACATGTCGGAGTCAGAGCCTGGTAGGAAGTGGGACTGGCGCCTGGTGGATGTGGTGAAGATAGGTATGGGCTTTGGATCAGGAATTGTTTTCTCACTTACCTTCTTTAAAAGAAGAATATGGCCTGGGACTGGGAATGGCCTACTCCAACTGTCAGCACGATCTCCAGGCTCCGTATGTTCTGCATGGAAAATACGTCAAAGAGCAGGAGCAGTGACTCACACCTGAGAACAGCCCAGTGGGAGGAAAAGAGAAACCATACTTGTTCCTCAGGAATACTGAAGGGCCCTGGAGGGAGCTGCCATTCTCCTGAAGCAATGTTATCAGTACGCTTTCAACTCCAGCATGCTGTTTATGTGTTTGAAAGCCAAGTCTGTTTCTTGTTTTGTATTTTCTCTCTGGAAATTGTAAGGAGATGGTCTTAAAGGAAATAAACACAAATTGCGCGGAGTGGGGAGGGGGAGACTCATATATATTTATGGTGTACAAAGTGTGCTTCCACGCTTGTTGGCTTTGAGTCTTGCATCTATCCCCCGGGGCATAACAGCAGAGCCTTCATATGTAAAAAACTTCTGCACATCAACTTGGCACATAATATGTGCTCACTAACCATTTTGTCGAATAAATTAATTTGTGATGTAATCTGATTTCCCTAAAGCAATTTCAACCTATTCTTTCTCCAGGCCCTTTAAACGCTCAGAGTAAACGTGTCGATGGGACCAGCAAGACAGATGCGTGCCATGCACTTAGCAAGTGTATTTTAGAGTCACCCTGAGCTTGAAGCTGCAATCATGCCAGGTGAGAGAGTCTCCTTTGACCTTGAACATGTAAGGGGGCATCCACAAGAATTGTTATATGATGCACTTTGCCTCATAATTCCAACATGAGCATGCAAACATAGATTATCAAAGTTAAAACCAACTAATTGATGATATTTGTCAGGACGTTCCATCAGGAAGTTGGGGAGCACTTATTTCATAATTCTAGAAAGTTCTGGGAAAAACCAGGCACAGGAGTGAAGGGATGGTTGGTGGCTCTCGGGTGTCCATTTCTCAAGAAAGTGACCTAGTGCTCAGCCAGGCAGCTGTCCCATAGGACACATGGGAGCCCCACAGGCACCTGGTCTCAGGAGGTGACCACCGTCCAAGTCTTCCCAGGTGCCTGCTGTCTTCCTCCTTGTCTGCTTCCCTCGCCTGGAAAGCTCTTTCCCGGGAGGTCACCTGCAGGCAAGGAGATGGAGCAGGGACACAACCTCATTGCTAGATGGGCCCAGAGGTGGAACCTGGTGTCTAAAGCTGCTGCCCAGGTGGGAGGCGGGAGGTATAAAGCTGAGTGGTGCTCTGCTCCAGGAGCCAAGGCGCATGGGGGGTGGTGTGGGCGGACAGAGGGGGAAGGGACCAGGGCTGCTTTGCCGAGGCAGAGCCTGTGCCTCCCCTAGGTTCTGCCTCCCAGGACACTGACCTTCACTGAGACATCGCAAGACGGGAATTGGCGCTGGATGGAGATAGGACAGTGCTGGGCAGGACAGGAAGCTGAGCCCAGGGATGGGGACAGGCTGAGTGCGGTCTTGTGGGGCGGGTAAGAGTCGTGTGGATGGGGACAAGGGTGTGGAACATGGGGCATCAGGCCTCCCACCGAGAACTGCCCTGCCACCTGCCCGCCACAGCCCCATCTCTGGGCAAAGAGCTGACAGCGAGGCAGCCCTTGCCGTCAGGCCTCTGCTGCATAGAGCAAGGGGAGGTGGGCAAGGGGTCCAGCCAAGCAAGGGGCATGGCCTCCACACACCCCAAGGACGGCCACCATGGGAAAAGCAAAGCTACATGTGCTGGCCAAGATGTGGAGACGCTGGACCTGTGCACTGCCAGTGGGCAGCTGCTGGGGAAACAACTCAGAATTAAACACAGACTCGCCATGTGATGCAGCAGTCCCACACTGGGATAGACACCCAGGAGAACAGGAAGTGGGGATGTGAACAGACACGTACACACCTGTGTCCAGCACCGCATTCATGATCCACAACAGCTAAAATGCGGGACAACCCCATGTCCACCACTGATGACTGAATGAGCAAAATGTGGTGTACGCAATGTGGGCTATGACTTCACGATGCAAGGTCACCGTGGAATAGTATTCTGCCTTGAAAAAGAAGGCAGCCCTGGCACATGCCACCCAGAGGGACCTTGATGACGCTGAGTGAGACAAGTCAGACATAGGAGCACACACGGCATGACCCCTCCTGAGGGACAGAAAGGGGGGCCACTGGGCTGGGGAGTGGGAGTGAGTGCCTAATGGGAACAGAGTCTTGCTTGGGAAGATAAGATAGTTCTGGAGACAGACAGTGGCGATGGCTGCATGACCATGGGAATGTGCTCAACGTCCCCAAAAATAGTCAGAATGATGAATATCTTGTTGGGTGCATTTTGCCACAATTAAAAAAATGTGACACCCTGGGTTTCCAGGATTGACCCTGCAGGTGACTTGTTCTGTGGCTCTGGGACAAGCAGTTTGCTTCCTTCCTTCGTGGCGGGCTTCTGGGTCAGAAAACAGCAGCTTCTCCATCACCTTCCTGCAGTTAACCCTGCCCAGAGTCACCCAAGGCAATGGCAGTATTTGGGACATGCCGGGTTTTCCTAACTGGTTGAACTGGGACTCTTGTAGGGTGTGGAAGGTCTGAATGGGGACACTTGAATACAGAACCCCAAAGGGCAGTCCACAGGAGGACAGAAACTTGATCCAAGCAGACCTGGAGACACCACCTACTGGCTGCACTCAGGCTGGACTCCTGGGGAAGCAAGCCCGCCCTCTTGGAGGTCAGCACCTTCCACCGGTGATACCAGGGATAACACCCTGCAGACATGGTCCGCAGCTGCCCATGCACACAAGGGGGCTGGTTCTGTGGTCTGCTGACCACATGCGCACTGTGAAATGTCAGGTGTGGTGAAGGAAACCAGACACAAGAGGGAAGAACGGGAGCCCATCCAGACTCGAGAAGGGAGCCAACTGGAACTTCTAGAAATGAAATACATAATGGTTGATTTAAAAAGTCCAGTGAAAAGGCCAGGCGCAGTGGCTCTCACCTGTAATCCCAGCACTTGGGGAGGCCAAGGTGTGAGACTTGCTGGAGCCCAAGAGTTTGAGACCAGCTTGGGTAACATAGTGAGACCTCATTTCTAAAAAATAAAAAATTAGCCAGGCATGGTGGCACTCACCTGTAATCCCAGCTACTTGAAAGACTGAAGCTGAAGGATTGCCTGAACCCAAGAGGTCAAGGCTGCGGTGAGCCATGATCGTGACAATGCACTCCAGTCTGGGGGCAGAGTGAGACTACATACACACAAATAGACATGGGTAAAAGAGAATTAATAACCGAGGGTTAGATTTGAACAGACACCCAGGTGGCCTCCAGGACACACCAACAGCAGACATGGATAAAAGAGAATTAATAGGTGAGGGTTAGATTTGAACAGACGCCCAGGCAGCCTCCAGGATGGACATGAAGGTAGAAGCACGCAGGCTGGGTGTACTGTGAAGCACAGATGAGAAAGTTCGGTGAGTCTCACGCAGAGGCCCCAGCCCCCCAAGAGGCAAGTCCAGAGCGGGTGATGCACAGACCCTCAGGTCCAGAAGATTCATGGTGTTGCAGCAGAGAAGCAGAAGCTGGAACAAGGTCTTCAATGTGCTGAGGCCAAGGTGGGTTCCACAGGAAGTGTCTTTTAGAACTGGCGTACAACAAAGGCATTTCAGATGAACAAAAGCTGGGGCATCTGCCCAACAGGCTATTGTCAAGAGAGCTTCCAAGGGTGTCACTGATCGAATGCACAAGTACCCCCAAATTTGTATGCTGAAGTCCTTACCCCCCAAAGTGGTGGCATTAGGAGGTGATGAGGTCATGAGGCAGGGTCTTCAGGAATGGGGTTAGGGCCCTTGTAAAGAGGCCCAAGGCCGGGCTCGGTGGCCCAGCCTGTAATCCCACGCCTTTGGGAGGCTGAGGTGAGTGAATTGCCTGAGCCCGTGGGTTCGAGACCTGCCTGGACAACTTGGCGAGACCTCATTTCTACAATAAATCAAAAAATCAGCCGGACATGGTAGCGCATGCCTGTGATTCTGGCTACTTGGAAGGCTGAGGTGGAAGGATCACCGGAGCCCAGCAGGTTGAGGTTGTGGTGGCCGGGAGCGGCCACTGCACTCCAGTCTGGGTGACAGAGCGAGACTTCAACTCAAAAAAAAAAAAAAAAAAGAGGCCCAAGAGGTTTCTCAAAGAACTAAAGTAGATCTACCACTTGATCCAGCAATTCCACTACTTAGTACCTACCCAAAGGAACAGAGGCCATTATATAAAAAAAAGACACCAGGCTGGGCTTGGTGGCTCAGCCTGTAATCCCAGCACTTTGGGAGGCTGAGACAAGTGAATTGCCTGAGCCCATGGGTTCAAGACCCACCTGGGCAACTTGGTGAGGCCTCGTCTCTATAATAAATCAAAAATTAGCTGGGTGTAGTAGCACATGCCTGTAGTTCTGGCTATTTGGAAGGCTGAGGTGGAAGGATCGTCGGAGCCCAGCAGATCAAGCCTGCGGTGGCTGGGAGCGTTCCTCTGCACTCCAGTCTGGGCGACAGAGTGAGACTCCAATTCAAAAAAAAAAAAAAAAAAGACACCTGCACTCCCTTGTTCATTGTGGGCACAATTCACAATCGCAAAGACGTGAAATCAACCTAAATGCCCATCAACTGATCAGTAGATCATGAAAATGTGGTATCTATACACCATGGAATACTACTTGGCCATCAAAAAGAATAAAACAATGTCTTTTGCAGCAACTTGGATGGAATTGGAGGTCATTGTCCTAAGTGAACTAACTCAGGAAGAGAAAACTAAACTCCACGTGCTCTACTTGTAAGGGGAAGCTAAACTAAGGGTTTGCAGAGCCAGAGAGAATGGTATTATGAACACTGGAGACTCAGAAGGGGGAGGCAAGAAGGGTGAAGGGAGGAAAAATCACATCTCCGGTGTGCCGTGCACAGGTGGGGGAGATGGGTACACCTCAAGCTCAGACTTCTTCACCACTATATAATGCAACTACGTAACCAAAACCATTTGCATCCCCTAAAGCTACTGAAATAAAAACAAATGAATAAATAAAAAGTAAAACCAAAAAAGAGGCCCCAGAGAGACGCCTCGTCCCTTTCTTCTTCTATGTGAGGTCACAGAGAGAAGGCACTGTCCAGAGGAACAGGCTCAGCAGACTCCACTGGCGCCTTGACCTTAGCCTTCAGCCTCCAGAGCTGTGAGTAATGAACGTCTGGTGTCTGCGAGAGCAGTCTGCAGGAGTTGGTTGCAGCAGCCTGAGCGGACTAAGACAGAAGGAAGGAGTAGCCGGTGTCAGAAGAAAGGCCCGAGGCGAAGGGAGGACGAGGGACAAACCAGCTCACACGAGCCTGTTTATAAGCAGGACTGGACAGCAGGACGTCCTAATAAGAGCAGCAGGATCTTGACCTGTGGGGCTAAAAGCAAAACGCCACACATGAGCATGGTCAGCACCGCTGAGCTGTGCACGTAAAAGTGGTTAAGAAGGTAAATTTTATGTTATGTGCTTTTTACCACATTTATACAACAAAGCACCACATGACGGAGATGACAGGATGTGGATCACACAGAAGTCAGACACAAGATGACCAATCACAGCGCCACAAGTCCCCGTGCATTCCAGAGGGTGAAGATTTGGGTGAACTTGAGATGTGATTGGTTGCACGCGTTAAACTTTGCAGTGCCATTTCTAGAAGATTAAAAATAGAGTTAGTAGATTCCAAGTCACAGAGGGAGGAAATAGAATTTAAAAATAAACTCGATACATCTAAAAGAAGATGAATTAATCTGCTAGGGCTGCTACAAGGTACCACAGGCAGGGTTCAAACAAAAGACATTCATCTTCTCACAGTTCTGGAGGCTGGGAGTCAAGTCCAAGATGTGGGCAGGGCTGAAGCTGGTTCCTTCCGAGGCTGAGGGAGGACCCACTTCTGGCCCCTCTCTCTGGTTACAGTCTCTCTTCTTCCTGTCCCTCACCCGATCTTCCCTCTGTGCGGGTCTGCCTGTGCCTAAATCTCCCCCTTTTACAGGGACACCAGGCATATTGGAGTGGGTCCTGTGCTGATGACCCTCTTCAGAGGCGATTACCTCCATAAAGACCCTATTTCCACAAACAGTCACATTCTGAGGTACCGGGGGCTGAGCCCAGCATATCTCTTTTGATACAGCCCATATCAGAGGGCAAAAGGTAATAAAACAAACAGGAAAAGCACACAAAATAAAAATCAGATGGAGGAAATAAATCAAGAGATATTAATACGTTTATTAATGAATGATCTGAATTCTCTCGTTCAAAGGCAAAGAAAGGTAGATTTTTAAAAATCTGATTATAAGCTTTTTAGAAGTTACATCTGAAACAGAAAGACACAGATAAATGGGAAGTAAAAAGTTGGAAAAAATAAACCAAATGAATAGTAATCAAAAGAAAGCTGATAGTTATTAAATAACAGACAAAAAAACTTTTAAAAAATTACTAGAAATTGTCTTGGTTTCCTATTACTACTGCGCTAGATCACTACAAATTTTGAGGCTTAAAATGACACACATGAATTACATTTCTGGAGATCAGAGGTCTGCAGTGCATCTTGCTGTGTCAAGATCAGGGGTTATGAGCCTAGGAGGTCAATATCAGCCTGGGCAACATAGTGAGACTCTGAGGTCTCGCTGCCCAGGCGGGTCTCGAACCCGCGGGCTCAGGCAATCCCCTCACCTCAGCCTCCCAAAGGCGCAGGATTTCAGGCTGAGCCACCGAGCCCGGCTTGAATTTTTGATTTATTGTAGAGATGAGGTCTCGCTGCCCAGGCGGGTCTCGAATCCGTGGGCTCAGGCAATCCACTCACCTTAGCCTCCCAAAGGCGTGGGATTAAAGGCTGAGCCACCGAGCCCGGCAAGGCCTCTATATTTTATTACAGTTTTTACATGAATAAATTTTACTTTTTAGAGAAGCTTAGATTAATAGCAAAATTGAGTGGAAAGTATAGAGTTCCTAAATACTTCCTGTCCCCACACAAGCACAATTTCCCCCACTATCAACACCCCACATCACAGTGGTACTTTTGTTACAGTAGATGAACCCACAGTAGCACACCATTATCACCCAAAGTCCATCGTTTACATCAGGTTCATTCTTGATGTGTACATCCTGTAAGTTTTAACAACCATATCATGACAGGTATCTGCCACTACTGTATGTACAGAATAGTTTCACTGCCCTAAAAATCCTCTGTGCTCTGCCTACTCATCCCTCTCTTCCTCTTTACCCCTGGAAGCCACTGATAATGTCTTTTTTTTTTTTTTTTTGAGTTGCAATCTCACTCTGTCGCTCAGACTGGGGTGCAGCCTCGACC